GAAGCAACAAGCCCCTTTTCCTTTGTGGTATTTGCTGATTTACAGTCAGATTTAATGGTGCACAGTGCAAAGATTTCTGCAGAAATTACCTTATTTAGTCCAAATATGCTCTGTGTGTTTTGGCACAGACTCTTGAGCCAAGAGTTGCACGCTTTCCTTTACTCTAGAGCTTCTCATTCAGAGGCTCTAGTTAAGTCGCTCGTTGATCTTGTCACAGAAAAACAAGCTGCTTGCTTTTAAACTTTTATAAACCAGAAGCTTAAAGACGCTTTGCCACAGGATGCATGTGTCTCTGCTCGCTTTGCTAGTAGAGTGTTTGTCTCTGAGTAACGTGTATAATATTTATTGCTACAGTAGCTCAAAGATCAGATGAAAGTGCTCGAGACCAGCCGGAGATGATGACTGTGCCTCAGCAGTGATGACACGGTTGCGTTTTGTGTTTCCTCTGGAGTGTTTCTATAATGCTGCAGCAGCAATGCTCTGCACTCAGGGTCAGGGACAGCTGAGAGAACAGGAGTAAAGCACAGGCTTCATTTTCTGTCCTTAGGCACAGCTGTTACAGTACCATACGGCACATTCAAAGCATAAACAGGTGACAGTGAAGTTATTTCAGCGTTTCCTCGTCCTCTTTTACTTGCACCACAGCATGTAAGAAGCAAAACGGCAGCAGTGTGGTCTTCTTCTTCAGTGTGTTGTGTCTCTGCTTCTTTCATGAGCCCATAATGCACTTGGGATATCCATCATGCCCTACGGAAAAATGCCTCTGTAACCCATGCCTCTGCTTCTCCCATTATCTACAGCTGCTGCGCTGGGCAACCTGGTATCAGATCTGGCAGGACTGGGGTAAGACTTGACACACACACACACACACACACTTGGTAAATTCAAACAGTTCAGTTGAAATTTAGAATCAGTCAAGGAAAGGAAGAGCCATTAATCTGATTGTACAGCAACACGTTTTCCACACAAATATACACAGATAATAATAATAATATTTATAAACAAAGGTCCTTTTCACATCACTTTGAGAAGGTAAAGGTTTACCATCATGTTGTTCGTGGGGCTAATTCAATAAATTGCTCACTTTTAACCAGTTACTGTCATGAACTGGCTGTGTGGA